TATGAAATGCATTCCAAGATTTCTCAATGAACTTAAAACAGAACTATCATTTGACCCAGTAATCTCTTTACTGGGTATATATCCAAAAGAAAATAAATCATTCAACCAAAAAGATACAGGCACTTGTATGTCTAGTACAGCACAATTCATAATAGCAAAGACATGGAATCAACCTAGATGCCCATCAGTGGTGGACTGGATAAAGAAAATGTGGTACACATACACCATGCAATACTACACAGCCATGAAAAGAATAAAATCATGTCCTTCACGGTAACATGGATGCAGCTAGAGACCATTATCCTAAGCAAATTAACACAGGAACAGAAAACCAAATACAACATATTCTCACTTATAAGTAGGAGCTAAACATTGAGTACTCATGAACATAAAGTGGCAACAAGGGACACTGGGGACTACTAGAGGGGGGACAGAGGATGGCAAGGGTTGAAAACTAGCTATTGAGTACTATGCTTAGTACCTGGGTGAACTACTCACAATGAACAGAGGCTACTTGTTGTAATACCCCCAAATCTCAGCATCACACAATACACTCATGTAACAAACCTGCACATATAGGATACTCCCCGAATCTAAAATAAAAACTAAAATTATAAAAGAAAGAAATACATAACAAGTGCTAACTAACCTAAGTTCCTTTCCACCATGAAATCTTGCACAACTGACTGGAAGACACATAGTGCCAGGAGATGATCTCTCCCTGGTGATGCAATTCATACGACTGCCTATTGTCTCTGACCACAGGAAATGTAACATAGGATTCGCTACCATGTAATGCCTGTATGACTCCTTTCCCTCCCACATGAATCATTCCATGCTGGATTCTTATCAGCCAGTAATCAATCAGTTGCAGATTCAGAAATCTTACTCTATGTGACATTCAAAAAATGAAAATAATGGCAATGAACATTTTTAAATTTTGCTTCAAACCTGGAAATTGTTCATCAGTCCATACTGACATGGTTCATGTCGACATCTTGAGAAGTCATAGCCCAACCCACATGCTGCTGAACCATTGCAGTTCATCCCAGAAATGATGGTGTCATTCATGTTCCCGGTGGCATCTCGGACCACACAGGCCCCTGTGGAAACAACCGTGGCTTGTTATTTCTTTATAAGGTTCTGGTCCCCTAGAGTTTTCTTCTGAAAACATAGTTTACTTTGAGTCTGCAAAGGTCCATTTCTTAGCCTCTGTTCACTGTGGGTAGTTCTTGATAACTGGAGGCTCCCAGCTGCTGAGCCCTGGGGTTTCCCCTTTTCTGTAACAGGCTGCCATTTCAACTGCCTGTGTGACTTAGATTTGAGTGGTAAGAGACTTGGGAGTTGACACTCAGTCTTAATTTCTTATCTCTTAAAACTTGCATGGTAGCCCTTGGTACATAACACATACTCAATACATATGTCTGGCTTAGTACTAACGACTGGATGTTTTTCAAGTAGAAGGATTTATTTCCTCATCTGCAAGAGAGCCAAGGGGTGGCATTATGGAATTCTATTATAGCGATTAAGAGAACGCAGCCCCTCTTTTCAACTAATGATATTCCTTGCATAATTTATAAAACAGAGTTATAGTTCCACATTATATGCAGTTTTAATGGTTTAAACAGTAAAGGAAATGTTTTAGGATAAAATATTCAGATTTCCTAGGCAATGGTCAAATAATATTGATCTAGTATCTATCTTAGTTGATCTATTCCATTATTTTCATGCATTTGAGTGTATCTGTCATTTTCTACTATAGCATTCTATGATGAACATCTTCGTGCATAAACTTTTTCTTCTAGGATAGATTCTTAAAAATAGAATTATGGTCATTTAAAAGATTGCTGATATATATTTTAATCACTGGCTTTCCCTTATGATTTTTTCTAACTAATCTTTGCCGTGTTTTTGATAGGATTTTTGAAATATATGAATATATGTGTGAAGTATATATAAACTTTTCTGAACTACATGAAGGATAAATACTTTACAAACTAAATGCCAACCAATAAAACTGCTTTGATTTTCAAACTCTACCCAGGGTGGATTCTCATGCCTTGCTAATAATACCTTTAAGACAGGTCCCAGAGACAGGAATAAATGTGATTCTTAGCCATGGAATCCACATTCTTTGAATTTGGGAGACTTAAAAATCATAGACTCTTTTTTGTTTGTTTGTTTTTGTTTTTGAGACAGAGTCTCGCTGTGTTGCCCAGGCTGGAGTGCAGTGGCACGATCTTGGCTCACTGCAACCTCCGCCTCCTGGGTTCAAGCAATTCTCTGCCTCAGCCTCCCAAGTATCCGGGATTACAGGCGCCTGCCACCATGCCCGGCTAATTTTTGTATTTTAAGTAGAGACGGGGTTTCACCCTCTTGGCCAGGCTGGTCTTGAACTGACGTCATGATCCACCCTCCTCGGCCTCCCAAAGTGCTGGGATTACAGGTGTGAGCCACTGCACCCGGCCAATCATAGACTCTTTTATCTGAAAGAGCCATTTAAAATAATCAGTGAGGGATCCTTTTTATTGTAGTCCTGAGAGGTAGCCTGCCAGCTTCTACTTGAATGCTTGAAATTATGGATGTCAATTACCAAGTCAAACTATCCTTTCATATTTTACCTGTTTGCATTGTTCATTTATGTTGAACTGAACTCTTTGAATCATGTATTTTAACCTCTGCATAACAGATCTCTCAAAATTCCCATGAAGCCAGGCCATGAGTCGTTATTTG